ATCACATACAGGTACGTAATTCATAAAGACTTTAATAAGCTGTATAGTCATTTGTTTTAGCATTAATATTATAACAGCACAGATTCCTCATTGCCAAATATAATTTTAAACCTCAACCAGTAATTTCACTGAAGAAGCATGCCTCATTTGCTGCTACAGAGGTGTCCCTGAAAAGCTGTACCACCAAATTAACTGTTCCTAAATACCATTCCCATCATGTGCTTCTCTGCTCAAGAACCTTCTGTGACTTCAAGGTCAAACATTAAATGTAATCTGAACTGTCTTTATTTTTATAGGTCAAAAATGACTGAAAATCTGCAATTTCACATAGTTCTACCTGGCACCATCTCTGAGAGTTCTCTAACCCAATGCATGGCCTCACATCTGTAGCAATTGTCACAGCTGCCTTTTGACATTCACTGATGTGATTATTTGATTCATGTCTTGTCTTCCCTAGTGGACTGCAAATTTCATGAAGGCAAGGACCACGTTGGCTTTCCTGCAGCACTGACCCATCTAGGTGCTTCCAAGTTTCTGGGCACACAACGAATAATATAATGAATGAAATAACTAAGTTTTCAAATTTCAAGAAGTAGAACTAGCAAAAGTGTAAGGGTCCTAGAGGTAGGCATGATAATAGTAGGTTCCAGGAACAGCAAGAAGACCACTATGAGGCCGGGCGCAGTGGCTTACGCCTGTCACCCCAGCACTTTGGGAGTCCGGCGGGGGGTGGGGGGGGGGGGGGGGCGGATCACGAGGTCAGGAGTTCGAGACCAGCCTGACCAACATGGCGAAACTCTGTCTCTACTAAAAATACAAAAATTAGCCGGGCATGGTGGCACATGCCTGTAATCCCAGCTACAAGGAAGGATGAGGCAGGAGAATCACTTGAACCCGGGAGGCGGAGGTTGCAGTGAGCCGAGATCACACCACTGCATTCCAGCCTGGGTAACAGGGCAAGATTCTGTCTCAAAAAAAAAAAAAAAAAAAGGCAGACCACTATGGCTGGGGCTTCCTAAGCTCAGTGCAACCCTGGAGCTGCAGAGGAAGCCATGAAACAGTCACGCATAATCAGATACAACTATCAAAAAGCAAGTACACATTTAAAACATACAGTTATGTATCAGCATATATTTTTAAAACCATAACCTCAGGCGTTTTTGGATAACCATGGTCCATTTTTTTCTGCAGGGGCTGTTTAAGTTTTAAAGAAGGATACAGAAAATTCTTCACTTACAGAAAGAATTTAATGAAATAAGGCCAATTGCACTATTTTGTAGATTTAAAAGCCAACATTTGTGGCTCCCCTGAATAGCAAGTAAATGACATCATAATAAAGAGCTACTCTGTGCAATCTTCCACTTTAAAAGTTTATTCATCCAAACTATTTAAAGGGGGAAGAACTAAGTAGACATAAAAACTTATAGTATAAAGGGGCACACTAAAACCATGACATACAGTGAATATGCCTCTCCTTAAAATAGTACATAAAGCCAAAATTCATCAAAAACAATGTGCTGAAGATTTTGGCATTTTGGAAGATCAACATGCTATGCTACCAGCTTTTTCACTGAAGGTGTGTCTTTATGAGGATGCAAAGTTAGAAGACATAGGTACAAAAGGAAGAAGCAGCTGGTTTAGATTAACTGTGTTTGTGAGAAACACAGATCAATTTTTAACGTTCCATCTGCTATAATAATCTCTGGTATAATGAACAGTCTCCCAGGTAATTTAAAAAACATTTAGAAGTTTGCTTAACAGGTTTTTGCCTTTTTCTTTTGAGACTCTGCCCCCTACAGGAGATGAGGAAATAAAGTATTCTTACCTAGAAAACCACAGTTCAGCCGGGCACAGGCGGTGGCTCGTGCCTATAACCCCAGCACTTTGGGAGGCCAAGGTGGGCAGGTCACCTGAGGTCGGGAGTTCGAGACCAGCCTGACCAACAAAGAGAAACCCCATCTCTACTAAAAGTACAAAATTAGCCGGGTGTGGTGGCACATGCCTGTAATCTCAGCTACTCGGGAGGCTGAGGCAGGAGAATCATTTGAACCCGGGAGGCGAAGGTTGCAGTGAGCTGAGATTGTACCATGGCACTCCATCTGGGCAACGAGACCGAAACTCCATCTCAAAAAAAAATGAAAGAAAGAAAGAAAGAAATCCAGAGTTCAAGTGCTGGTACAAAAACAACCTGGTAAACCACAAGTATCACAAAGCAACTGAATATAGCACTTTCTGAGGGAAGAAGGGGTATATAAATGGAACAGCTTTTCTTTCTTTCCTTTTTTTTTTCTTGGAATGTGCCATACTATACAAATTAAGACCGACTTCTCCCTGTCCCAAATTAGAAATCTGTCTCTCTCTGCCCCATTCATCAGAACTCCGAACCAAAGCACAAAGTTAAAAGTCGAGCAGTGCAAATGAATTTTAGACTGCCTTCCTCCCCTGATTCCCTACTACTACCCTTATCCAACCTATCCTCCACAAGCCAAATTTAGTGAGCACAAAATCTAGACAGCAAAGGGAAGCATCCTATCATATGGAACCTAAGGCAGCTGCCAGAAATGTCTATTCCTGCCCATTATATAATATGTTTCCTGTTCTTTTCTACTCAGCTTCCTTCTCCCCCTTTTGCTCACTTTTCTTTTTTTCCTGATTTCATTTCTCCAGTTACCGGATGCAATGAGCTTGCTGAATGGCACCTTCTACCTACATTTCTCCTTCCTCTTGAGTGTCAGGAATGCTATGAATGCAGTGCAGAGCATGGGCAGTGCACACTCCATCAGAAGGCACACTTCTGAGAGGGAGGTGAATTAGGCAATACCTCTTGTGAAATACCTGAGGCTTTTCTTCCCTCTTTTACTAGAAAGTTTCTTGATTCAGCTACTCCAATCTCCACATTTTGAGAACTAAGCCGAGCTGTTCTTCCTTACTCCAATAACACAACAGATTTGCTGACCACATCTGTAATCTAAAGCCACGGAAGTGTACCATAATTCCAGGATGTCCAGAGTAAGTACTTAGTAAATTATTATTGAATGCCTGAACTTAAAAATATATATACAAGTATAAAACACTGAAATGTCAGTAATTTCTATTTTTTAAAAAACTGCTAAAACTAGTATCTCCTTATTTCAAAACCATTTTCCAAAAGTATCTGGGTGACTTAACACAGGTCTTTCATACCTACAGATACATCTATATAAACTAGTAGAGCTTCTTTCTTCTTCTTTTTTCTTTTTTTTTTTTGAGATGGAGTCTCACTCTGTTGTCCAGGCTGGAGTGCAGTGGCATAATCTCGGTTCACTGCAACCTCCGCCACCCGGGTTCAAGTGATTCTGCTGCCTCAGCCTCCTAAGTAGCTGGGATTACAGGTGCCCACTACCACACCCGGCTAATTTTGTATTTTTAGTAGAGACGGGGTTTCACTATATTGGCCAGGCTTGTCTCAAACTCCTGACCTTGTGATCCGCCCGTCTCGGCCTCCCAAAGTGCTGGGATTACAGGCATGAGCCACCGCGCCAGGTCTAGTAGAGCTTCTTAACTGGCTCAGTGTTTCTGGTCTCTCCAATCCCACCCCGCAAGTTTCTGATGCACAGTCACTGAGGTCCTTGAGTCAAAGCAAGGATGATTCACTCAATCCTCACTTTGGGTAATTTATTTTCCAACAGAAAAGACCAGCACCATAACTAACCTAAGTTTAAAATGTGGGTTTTCAATGTGCCACCCCTATTTGGCTTTTTTCAATGCAGGAGCAAGGACAAAATTTTAAATGTGGTTTTGGCTGGTGGTGAGCTTCTTGATCACTTTTAAACAACATACTTAAATCTAATAGACTTGAATTAAAACCTTCCAAATCAGATTTCCATTTAAAGCCATTCTCATGGTAAATTTAATGTCACAAACTGGGGTTTAATGAAAGGAAAATAATTTGATTTAGTTTATAACAGATATCTAGATCGGGTTCAGTGAAGTTTTAAAACCTTTTTTTTTTGAGATGAAGTCTCACTCTGTCGCCCAGGCTAGAGCACAGTGGTGTGATCTGTCTTGGCTCACTGCAACCTCTGCCTCCTGGGCTCAAGCGATTCTCTTGCCTCAGCCTCCTGAATAGCTGAGATTACAAGCACCCGCCACCATGCCTGGTGAATTTTTGCACTTTTAGTAGAGATGGGGTTTCACCATGTTGGCCAGGCTGCCTCAAACTCCTGACCTCAAGTGATCCACCTGCCTTGGCCTCCCAAAGTGTTGAGATTTCAGGCATAAGCCACCGTGCCTGGCACAATTTTTTTTTTTTTTTTTTTTTGGTAATTTTACTGTTTTAGGAAAGGTGGAAGAATGGGCAGTAGAGGAAAGATGCAGTAATAAGCTTTTACAAAATAAGATTGTTGACCTCAAACTTCTCTTTGCATCTCATCCTTACATAGCAGTTCCAGAAGCCCTGGGCTTCCCATGATGGGCATAAGCCCGTAGTGACTCAGCGGTCATCTGCTGAATCATCATCTACCCTGCTTTTAGCCACCCCCACATTTTCTGTCAAGACTGATTTTCTAGATTTCACCTTAAGAGGATCTGACAAGGTCAAGATCAATGACAGTTACTGACTGTGGCCATTTTCCTTGCCTAAGGAGTTTTAGTAGTCAGCTTTGGACTTGAATGTCTCTTATGAGACAATTTGTGACATGCATATTCACAGTGACCTTTATTCAAGAAGGCAGAGAGAATAGAATCACGTCCGACTCAGGAAGCCTAAATTCTAGTCTCGTTAGGCTCTAGCCAAGTCATTTTGATTCAACGGGGTTTATCATAGCTGCTTCTATTTACTTCAACAGCATGGGATAAGGATGGACAGATGCTTTAACATAGTAAGCTCCTCGAGGAGAGATGCTTTCTATAAACAGGAAGTGGCTGTGACTAGCCTTTTAAGGGGATTTATAAAGTGAATTCCAATTGTGGGGTTCAGGATTGTTCTTTAATGAGCTTTAGGCTGAAAATCTGCTTCATACCTGCACATTTGAAACTCTGAGCAGTGAGTCCTCGTTCCAAAGACAAAGTCGTCAAAATGCTCAGGAAGCTGGTAGTCACAGATTGGCGTTTATTCTTCCTGAGTTCATGCCCACCCGTCTGATCCTTGGGTTTGTTCCTCAGTGTGACTTGCAGGTTTTGCTCTGAACTCCTGGCCGCATTGGCAGCTGTCTTCAGAGCCTCCATCCATTCCTGAGCTCTCTGTCGGGTCTCAGCTCGGAGGCGAAGGACATCCTGGGGGAAAATGACTTGAAAGCAAGAGTCGCAGCCATCCAGGTTGTCTATCTGGACAGCCAGACACACATCCACATTGTAGCTCAACAGTGGATCCTCGTCTAGCTTGCCGGGCTGAAAAGCCATAAGGTAGGCCCTGCTCAGCACAAACGTAAATGCCTTCCAGTTGTTTTGGACAGTCAGCCTGTAGAGAGTCCCTGATTTGAGGATGTTTTGGTACTGTTTGGGGCTATCTAGCACAGGGGACGGTGGCAGCAGCCCACTGGCTTTCTTCTGGAAACAATGATACTGTGTATAGTCATCATGATGGCCAAGCCCTGGTGAGATTGTCAGCTCATTCTGCCGCCCCATGTAACCAGGCACAGCAGCATGCACGACTTCCCAAAGCTTCTGCCCCCAGTCCAAAGCCTCCCATGGTGACTCTGCCTTTAGCTGTAGCTGAGTGTTGTCATACAAAACAGTATCCACCATCCTGGCCTCCAGGTTGCCTAAAACAGATATGCTCTGGAAGTGTGAAAGCTGGTACGTGGCATACAGGTTTTGATTCCCACTGCTGTCGAGGCTGTAGAAGTATAAGTTGTAAGGTGAAAGTTCTGCATAACAGCTTTGCCAGTAACTGTCATGGTCCTTTCTAATCTCCAGGTAACCCTTCTTTAGAATGTTTGGGAATGTCTGCTTGTGTTCTAGAAAGAAAAAGAAAGGCAAAGTATTAATTAGAATTAGTTAGTTATAAGAAGGCAGGCCCAAGAAACCACACAGATCAGGGACTGACAGTCTTCTGGTTCAAATTAAACAAAGTTAAAGTAGCAGAATCCCAAGATGGTACCTAATTGGCAAGAAATAGCTGGGGAAATCTTGAGTCTAAAAACTTTAATTAGCAGGCTGGGTGTGATGGCGCACACTTCTAATCCCAGCATTTTGGGAGGCCAAGGTGGGAGGGATTGCATGAGCACAGGAGTTCAAGACCAACCTAGGCAACATAGTGAGAGCCCATCTCTATAAACAATTAAAAAATTAGCTGGGCATGTGGCACATGCCTGTAGCCACTGTAATCATGCCAATGCACTCCAGCCTGAGAGACACAGCAAGACTCTGTCTTAAAAATAAAATAAAAATAAAACCTAGAACTAGGGTGGAATCACATGTACGAGAATAAGTATGGGGCATGGAACGTGCAACACCAATGGAGTGTGCAACATCAATGTGAGATGCAGAGGTCTGTGTGGAAAACAGAAATACTGGAACGACTGTGACTAGCTATGCCTTGTGAATCTAGGAATCAATTACACTTTGCCAGGGTTCCATGTTTTCTAGGTAATAGACTATTAACAGTCTATTAGTCTATTAACAGTCTATTTCTACCATTACTTTTAATGGTAAAAACCGCAATTACTTTTGCACCAACCTAACAGTACCAAATACACAAGAGAGAACGTGCCTTCTGCCACTGGACCTAACTCTCTGCTAATACTCTTATCTTTTCTCAGGTTGGTAAAGCGAGGAAGGGTCAATGAATAGGAGAGAGCATAAAATGTGCTGCTCACAAACTCTCATTTCTCAGATACCTTCAGCAGCCCTCAAGGCCAGTTCATGGGCCTTCTGTCTAGGAACCAGAGATCCAAGCTTGACCCGACTAGCTCACTTTTTAGGTCTCTGCTTAGATGGCAGTTTTCTCTCTGAGCCTGACTGTGCTTATGCTATCCCCTGAGCTTGCAATGCTCCTTCCAAAGGCTTCAATCAGCAACTGCACACTTACCCTCTTTCAGAAAAAGAGTCTGTCCTGATTCTCCCAACCTCACCTACACACGTGCATGCATGCCTGAGTCAGTATCAGGTATCACTACTAAATTATTCTTCTATCATGGGCTCTTAGCTCAGGCTATATTATAATAGCTTATTTACATGTCTGAACAAATAAAATAAGTCTTAAATTTTTTTAAAGACTGTCTTTCCTGCTAGACAATCAGTTCCACTGAGGGCAAGGGTAAGGTCTCTCTTTTCATTCTTAGACCACAGCACACTGAACATTGCCTTGTACATAGTGGGTGCTTAATAAGTACTTGTTGAATTAGAAATAAAGCACCTAGCACAATGCTCAGCACATAGTAGGTATAATTCCCCTCCTATCTTCTTTTCTCCCTTTCCCACTGTTTTACTAGTCATGCCATCCGTAATCAATGATTAGCGCAATATATACTAGTTTAGTACTTAATAAAAGGGGACTATCATTTCAGAGATTTCCTGACATTCTTATCAGACATGAAAATGACATCCGGCCAGGCACAGTGGCTCACGCCTGTAATCCCAACACTTTGGGAAGCCGAGGCGGGTGGATCACCTGAGGTCAGGAGTTCGAGACCAGCCTGGCCAATATGGCGAAACTCGTCTCTACTAAAAATACAAAAATTAGCCAGGCATGGTAGCATGCGCCTGTAATCCCAGCTACTCAGGAGGCTGAGGCAGGAGAATCACTTGAACCCAGGAGGCAAAGGTTGCAGTGAGCCGAGATCATGCCATTGCACTCCAGCGTGGGCAACAAAAGTGAAACTCTGTCTCAAAGGAGAGGAGGGGAGAGGAGGGGGGAGAAGAGGAGAAGAGGAGGAGAGGAGGAGAGGAGGAGAGAAAGAAAGAAAGAGAGAAAGAAAGAAAGAGAAAGAGAGAAAGAAAGAGAAAGAAAGAAAGAAAGGAAAGAAAGAAAGAAAGAAAGAGAAAGAAAGAAAAGAAAAGAAAAGAGAAAAGAAAAGAAAAAATGACATCCATGTAAGAGACGTCAATCATCTCCTCCCTGGTAGAGATTTTAATTTCTGAAATGTTTCTCAATCTCTTTGCTGACACACATTGGAGACAGTCATAAACTAATTGAGTCATTCCCTAAAAAAGATAAATCATACTGCCAAAGGGTATGATTTCTGCTTTTGGCTAAAGATTTCTGCTTTTGGCTAAAGAAAAAAAGAATAATATAGGTCTAGATCTTAAAATAGCAAACCAAAAGAGAGAAGGAGAGAAATGAGGCTGAGAAAAGCCAGTTTTACCTGCTTTACATCTCTGGTCCTGACATTCATTAGTATTTCTGTGGTAACTCAAAAGCCATTAATTTCTTGCAACCCACACTAATCCCTTTGTAGAAAGAGATAATGGATGCCTATTTGCAGGTTATCTTTTTCTTCTGATAATGCAATAAGGGAGGCAGTGCTGTTAGCGACACTGCTGCCACCTTTCCTGGTCTCATTTCCATCAAGCACTGATGATAGTTCAATCTTTTCCATAATAAGACTTAAAACTATGTGTCCCTCTATCCCCATCCCCACTGTGACCCGACGGCTCAGCTGAGTCCGTGGAGTAAAATAAAAACCACCTCTCCTGCTTTTCGCTAGGACTTTTCCTCCCCTCTTCTTATCTCTCTGCGAGCTTTTAACAACAGCTCCCAGGAATTAAAAATTCTACTTTAATTGGGCCCAAACCAGCAGCAAGCCCGGCTAAAACCTCACTCCTTTCTAACTATAGAAGGTATGGTGGCAGGTGCCAGCTTGGGTGGACTGAATGAGAAGACCGGCGAGGGAATTTTCAAGGTTCCCTCACCTTCTAGATGCAGAATAAGAAGAAAAAATGCACTGGGTTCCAACATTTTTTCCCCACTCACTAAGCAACATTTCCTATCTCTGTTCTCCCAACTCAGCTTCAGCCCTCTTTAAGTGGTACATTAAATTGAAACAGAAAAAAAAACTGTGAATCCTAGAATCCTAGGAAATGGCTTTTTTTTTTTTTTTTT